TGAGTCAGATGGGTCAAAAAAAAATCGGTTTTGGGTCGGATTTGCCTGCAGTGTGAACGTAGCCAATCACAGTGGTTGGAGTTTATGTTTCTCCAGTGAATAATTGATATGTTCATTTTTAGACTCTGTTGTTTTGGTCAGGATTAGGATCAGAATCAGGATTTATTATTAGAAATTAGAGGTCAGACCAGGGGTCAAAGGTTATGTAAATCTCAGACTGGTTGATTTTAGGCCTTGTAGTGTAGATTAAGATTTTAGAGTTAAAATTTAGACTCATGTTAATCTTAGGTCATCCTCTAACTGGTTAACCTTAGGCGCTGCTGTCTGGGTTAGGATTTGAGTTAAAATTTAGAGTTGAAATTTAGGCTCAGGTTAATTTTAGGAGGACGGTTAGGGTTATAATTATAATTTCATGGGCTGGAAACATAAGGAAGTGACTGCCCACAAAGCAAAATTTGTCTGGCCCAGGTCTGGCCCACACAATGTACTAACACCTGGCCCAGATACTTTTTTAAGATGGCATACCACAACCACAACTTAGCCAGTTGTGGTTGGATTATGTGTTCATCAACACGGCGGATGCGCGTGCAACCCAATTGCAGAAAGATCCGGTCGGCACCATTAAACTGGCCTCTATCCGCGTGTGTCTTTGGTGTTGTAACTTTAACCAGTGATGTTCTCAGCATACTACAACAATCTGTAACCTAGTGATAAAAAAGCTATGCAGCTAAATTAACACTAGTTAATGGGATACATCTGAATGACCCGTACATCTTACCTGGAGGTGAGTGGATCAGCGACGATAAAAAATGGCCCAAACTGCAGTGGCCCGACATCCATTGTTACCTGATYGAGACACCAAGTCYTTWTTCMCGGSAGAGCCTGAAATCCTACGAAACACTTGATGCCTACAGCTTTGTCACTGACAGTCATGTTCAGGACATATTATTACATGATTACAACGCTGAGAACGTTGTGGCACTGAAGACCGAGGTGCTACCGAGTCAAGCCAGACGGAAGCAACAACTTCTCAATGTCAAAGGTAAGAATTATTATCTATTATACTTTRATTACAAAGCTGATCAACTCCATTAATCAGTAAATTATACCATCATCCACTGTACTGTTCTATGGAGGACTTTAAATAACACTTAGTAGACAAAGAATGTAATAGATAAAAATGTTTTTTTATTATTTATATTATATTGCTATTAACTTTCAGTACTGTGTTGTTTCCCACACACATTCTGTTTTCTTGTGTTATCTAACGTAATCTGACTTTTTTTTTTTGATTTTGCACAGGTGACAGATGAAGGCCTGAAGAAAGACCAGAGTTTGGCAAGTGCATCACATTTTAAGTGTAATAAGCTTTTCCACTACGAATGTGCARCAGTAAAAAGAAAGATGAAGGAATGGTACTGCCAGCAGTGTAAATATAAATACTAAAAACGTTTAAAAAATAAATACAGTTCACAATGAAACATTTACTGGAACTGTTCCTGCAAATATTCAAAGTTTTCACTTTGTTCTTTGAGTCACTATTGTGCACCTTATAGAAAAAAAATATTTTGGTATCTATTTTCTTTATACAACATATGTGCAAATACGATCACTTTTTGATGTATTCTTAACTGCAATGTGYGGTAGTTGAAAGGCAGGAAAAACGATCCAGTGAACAATATAAAAATTACTATAGAAAAAACCAACATTGTGTTTTTCTCTTTTTTTCCCCACATGTGCACCGTTTAACAAAAAAAAAACAACATTTTGTTAATTGTTGCTTTTTAATGTCATCACTTCTGTATAAACAACAAATAAAAAGGTTTTGACTTTCATCAAGGTATTTACAGTTTATTGGTGGTCCTCCAGTGTCAGAGAGCTACGCACAACCTCTACACTTTATTTAACTGTCTGCAGGACCCAATCAAAGGGGACACTGGTCAGACCTGTGAAGAAGACCACCTGTGCTGCTTTACAGTTCAGAGAAGGACAGGAGAACTGTGTACTCCTGAGCATCATCTCTGATTTTTCATTCTCAGCTTTTATCTTGTTGATGTCCACAYGCAGGTTGTCACACTCTGTATGAAGTTGGACGTATTTCTGTTTGAGGTCATCGTGAACGGCCTTTGGGGCTGTAGCTTCTGAAGAAAAATAAATCAATAGATCATTAGAAATTTCATTAGTTTAAGTTTGGATCTATTGATTGCATTCTGAACAATCATTTAGACTGTGAAAAACACAACAAAACATGGCCCGATCGTTATTCCCAACAAAAATGTATACAAGAAACAGTGCTGTTTTTGACTGCCATTTTAATTTTAGCCTTAGTCTAAGTCTTTTGAACAAAAATACTTCTTAGTTTTAGTCAGTTTTAGTTATTTCTATATTTAATGGTTTTAGTCCAGTTTTAGTCGACGAAAGCTTAAAAAAATGTTTAGTTTTAGTCTTAAAAAAGAGAACATATTAGTCTTTACAAATTAGTTTGAGTAGTTTGTGTTAACATTTGTGAATTTGTGTAATTTGTGTTACTCTAAAAATGCCCAAAACAAAACCATTCTCACTTTGTGGCTTTATTTCTCAGAATTTGCTGAAGTGCAATGAACATACAMAATACACATGCCCAATATTATAAGCAATAAAGGGGAACACACATGTTCAACTCAAACTTGTCAGCCTGAATGAAGATTCATTTTATTTCTAAAAACGGACATCATGCAGTCCTAAACTTATTAAACTAAAAAAAATAATAATAAAAGTCCAGAATCACACACACCATCCTATCTGTCCCATTTTTTAGTCTCAACAAGCAACAAAGCACACAGAACTGATCATATTTACCGATTCAATTTTCCATCATTGTCTTTGCTGGACTGGGTTGAGTAGGAGAAGATTGATGGGACAAAGTTATGACTGTCAATTTCGTCAGATGCCACTCCTGCACAGAGTGTAGTCCAAAGACTGACGTTAATGAACAAAACACACCGTTCTCCAGCGCTAGCAACTCAAATTCGCATCACTGAACTAAGAAATCTTAGCGTGTAAGCTAGGTACACTCCTATTTGAATGATTAATTGTACATATTTATGTATAAGTAGGCTGCATTAATTGTGTTTATGAGACAGGACATGCTTGTTAGCTAGGCAGCGCTTACCTGATATGAAGTGGTCGCTGCAGCATTTTTAGTCATCTGCTCGAACCAATCGGTTCTTCTGATGGCTTGCAACCAGAGACGTCTCCTGTTAGCCTTAAAAGGGCTGCGAGTTGATGGAATTCTGTAAAAAATTGCACATTTTATTGTTTTTATCAAAGCGGTTTGTGCAGCCGACAACGCAACAAGACATGATGACAGGTTCTTTCTGCAGCGGACATGCGCAGTAGACCCGGATGGCCTGATAATCCCTCTATTGTAAAAGTAAGAGAGTTTTGATGAGCTGTAATGAGTAACTGCTGTCCTGAATTCTGAACTCGCCCACATTCCAACAGTGAATTCCCACTGGAGGGTCATTCCAGTTGAAATTTACAACTTGTAAGCGGGAAATTCCCACTTCCCATTCAGACACATTTAATTGGGAGAAAGATCAGGGCAGGTGAATGGAAAAACCTGACTCCATAGATTGGGGAGGGCAATCCTGGTCTTGGAGGGCCACTGCACGGTCACTTTTCTCTGCTCCAACAAGCCTGTTTTATCACACATCACTCAAATTAGGTGTATTGGAGCAGAGAAACAAGTAAAACATGCAGGGTTTCTCAAGGACCATCCCTACCACAGACACGTGTCAAATGTGGAGAGGCACTGCTTTGTTGAAAGCCTGTCCTGTGTCAGGAAGGTAAAATGTGGTGTGTCTCTTCAAAACATTTGCAAGGTTGGTCCTCTCCAATCAGCACTGCCATACAAGCACACAATGCTCAGAACATGTTACGGCTCTACTTGCTCATGTCGTCCAGGGACAGTACCAGTACAAAGTTCTAGCAGTCTAGCAGTGCTGGCATATCAAGGGGTTATTTGTCAACTGTATGTGAGCCATGAGGTACGGCAATGATATACTGTTTATAAGAGCCATAACTGGCCCAGATGTGCTTGATGTAGTGCTGGCACACGCATGGAGCACTTTTGGCAAAACACATCTGGGCCAACAAAAGGCTGTCATTCTTTGTGATATCTAACTGTAGGCCTTAAAGGCCCCCACATACTCGGGCGTACTTCGGTCTGAGGAAGTCTGCGTGGACTCGAGGTGGACTCAGTGCGAACTCGAAGCAGACATCCGCCGGACTGGTCCGTGCAGAGATAAATTTTTTACATCCGCGTCCGTGGTGCCGATAAACTGCAGGATGAGTTCTGTTTTGGATGCAACACCAAGCTGATAAAGTTTAGAATCGGTATCAATTGTGGATGAAATGGAGTCAAAGTTTGAAGAGGGTCTCATGGAGGAGATTAGAAAACTTTATGACGCGTCAAAGAAGGAACATAAGGACTTTCAGCGAGCAACAAAGTTGTGGGAGGAAATAGCTCAAATCCTGGGTAAGGTAGTTATTTTCTTTTGTTGTTTTAAAGCTAAAATGCAAACTGTCTCTTCCTCCTCGTCCTTGACACCAAGACTGAAATTGCGAGAAATTTAAGAATTTGTCTGGCGGTCAGTACGCCCGAGTATGAAGTCTCAAACGTCCGTGGACAATATGTGCAAAGTCCATGCAGCTCATGGAATATGCACAGTACGCCCGAGTATGTGGGAGCCTTAAGTCTTCTAACAGCTAACTAACAAGCTAACATGGTTTGTGTGAGTTCCACCAGTTTTCAACTCATAGGGGACAAAGACAGAGTGACAGTCATCTTAAGGGCTCGACACACGGGCAGCGACAAACTACAGCGATTAACGGCTGTCATGGTGAAACAGCCGACACACGGGATGTGATTGCAGCATTACGAATCGCACTCTCAGGTTGCTTGTCTTCACAAAATTTGATTGGTTCTTCTACTGCCTATTGTAAAGGTTATTGGTGGTTCACAAAAATGGGGGGTGTGCATTATGGACGTGTAAACTAAACAAATCTTGCAATGCTAATAATATTGAATAAAAACACACACCAAGATACAATTTTATAAGGAAAAACTTACCGGATAACTTCACCCTGGCGCCAACAAATTTCCACAAAGCTGCCGTTTTTAGTAATCACTTGGTGAAAGTGTTAGCTAACTGCAGTGTGTAGCATACTCTCCTCTCATTGGTCAGTCAATGAAACCCTCGCTGATTGGTTGTA